TTTCTACGAATTCAGAGAGTTACACAGAATTTGACTTTCTAGAGTTAGAGGTTATTCCTGCGTTCGTACTTGAGCTTATATAAATTCAGAAAAGACACTTTTCCTACGAGAAGCGTTGCCGAAAAGTTTTCTAGTTTAGAGAAGATAGATTATATTTTGACAGGTGGAGATTCAGGCGATCCACCCAGAAAAGGGGAGATTCTGTAGTTGATCTACCTTTAGCTTAAGCATTTGGTTTAAAAGTGGACTTAGGTTTAGCTTATAAGGAGGTTTTGAAGAAGGATGTATTATGAAATTGTATTCTCCATATGATCTTAGCTTGGGAATTGGTCTGTTGTGTATTACAGGTTTGTTTGATCATTTGATTCAAGTTCAGGATTAGATCCARCTTGATCYCTTGAGGATCATCATCTGTTATCAYWKATAAYAGGTCGGTTGCCGATTCGTCGGTCTACGACTCAATTTCAACTCTCCCTCTACACTCAACCTAAAAGGCTTTAGCCCAGGTGATTTTCGTTGTTTTATTAAGGTTTCACCCGGACTTTTATTGAATGGTGATTTAACAAAGGTGCTGAGTACTTAATTAAGGTTGGTTGGACAGGAGGTTTGGGGCTTGCATGGCTAAAGCGAGGGGTATGAGTGTCGAAGGTGGTTGGGGTTGACTCCGTGTAGTGTGTGGACTGTTGATTTTGGTTCGTTGATGTGATGGCAGGTATGTGCTGTGAATCAGATTCTGGATTTGGTTGCCTACGATCACACGTACACGTATTATTGTGAGAGACCCCAGCGAAACTCTGAGAAGTGATCGYCACATACTTAACCCTTATATAAGTATACATGGGCATGCTTGGGATAAATGTTWGCATGGGTTGAAGAATCCTCATATTAAAGCCCGTCCAGAAGCTGGGACTGAAGAACTTAGGGGAGACMCCTACTTCTATTTTTATTCCTGCTTTGTTGATTTTCTTAGTCGGACGTTTGGTCCTGGGCTAGGATTCGAGGTCCTTGTCCAGGACATCCCAAGCCCTAGGCTCTGTAGGGGAGGGGCTTTCCCTCGCGCAGAGCCTATTTGATTTGCCTACCGA